AATATTGGACAATATATGAGTTGTTTCTTGTAAATGGTGAACCTAACATGTGAATAAGATCAAAAAGTTTGTGAAGATGGTCCATTATATAACAAATATGTTATTGAATATTTATCTAAAAACACATTTCTGTTTATATTTCCAAACACGAACGTTTTGGAGACTAGATTCTATGTCCATCTTCAGGTCTGGAGATGGGGACTAGCCATTTCGATTGGGCCCAACTGAATAGGTTCTACCTGAAGACGGAGACAGAATCCAGTCTCCAAAATATATTCTGAAAAATAAACAGGACGGTGTTTTCAGATAAAGATAGGACATTGGAAAATATCCAAAAACATAATATTTGTACTAACATGTGAAGCCTTTCAATAATTAAGTAGCTGATGAAGCCATAATTCTTTTTGTATGATATATGTGGTGCTAACTTTATGTATGCACCCTGGATACTGAGATGTATGGTCACCCACAGATAGCTGTGAGGAAGCACAACTTGCCATCTGACAAATGAAATGTGTGCAGATTATGCTATTCACAAAATCACATACTTGCAAAGAACTGAAAACCCTAGATGTTCTAAATCTCGTTTAGCTTGCCAGATGGTACTAGGTCAAGAAGGATGGCTGGCACTCTTTGTTGTTGGTGGTAAATAACGTTCATTGACACCATGCAACAAAAAGGTTTACCATCCCTGGTCTATACCAATGAACGATTTTCTTATTGACGTAAAGGTGAACCTGATGTAGTTATCATGGTGTAATGTATTTACTTTTAGCAGTGATGTGTTTATATGTGTTAAAAGTTGATGTACCATATGCATTATGTTCCTTTTGATAAACGTGTGCTTGGATTCTGAATAAATATTAGAGTAGCTATGATGATAACAAAGTATCTTAATTTTTTGGCCTCAAATGTCTGATTGTGTGACCATCATAGATCCTTGATCACATTGAACAATGTTATTTCCAAAATTACATTGAATGAACTAGACACTTGAAATAGGGATGTCACTATTTAATCATATTTACCTCAGAAGTATACATAATTTTATTAGCATCTATTTTTTTATTTTAAGTTGGTTACTTAATAACACACTCATTTTCAGGAGTATGTAGCATCAGTAATATTGTCACATGTATGAATGACTATAGCCAGGTTTTGGATTAACAAGTGTATTTATTGCACACTTTGATACAGCATGTGACTACACTTTACAATTCATTATATCAAACACACTATGAGCCTGGATAGTGTAGTCAGTATAGTGACTGGCTGTGGGACTGACAGCAAAGGGGTCAGATTTTGAGTCCTGGCAGTGTCAAGAATTTTCTCTTATCCAGTGGATACCGGGAGTAAAGCGTCCAGAGCGTGAACCTGACTACTCACCACAAACTAGTGCTGAGGTGAAGAAAATGTGTATACATCCACTCCCCCATATGACTTCATGGTGTAATGCTTAATTAGTTTGGTTTTGGGTTTCTGTGTGATGCCTTCGTGCTGTTCAGTTGTCTTATTCTTCCAGCGACTACCTGGCTCTAATTCCCAGAAGATTGTACTCTTCACAATAACAAATACTTCAGAAGAGATATAGCCTACCACAAATGGGAATATTTGCAACAACAGCATTTTCATATTTATCTGTAGGTAATACTGAAAGGCTTAAATGGTTCAAAATTTGTTTCAACAGCTCTTTATGGGCCATTTGCAACAGAAAGTTGCAAAAATTCACCCATTACTCTCATCATGTCAGTCAGGAATACGTATAGTTATTAAATACAGATACGGATCCTTTTCGGTGCAGTGCTTCATATTAACATAAAAACTCTGCCTCACGTTAGTGTATAATTAAAATTGCAAATATATGATGAATAACAAATAAAAAATAAAAATAGAAGATAGAACAAAGGTGTATATATACAAAATGTTGAAATATTATTAAGACATGTTAGAAGTATATAAAAGTATATTAAAAGGTATTTAACAAATATGTGTGGGGTTAGGAATCTGTATGCCAACTAGTGAAAGGCCTTTCTTTGCTGTCTGTATCACTTCCATGTTCTCTTTGATCGTGCCATATGCATGGCCCGTGTCAAGTAGACTAGACATTGATTCAAATAAAAATCATACATTTGATTTGTTTCATTTTGGTCCGTCACATTAACAGTTACAATTACTAAAGACAAGTCCGTCCAATGTGACTTTCAGTTTTCTCACTTGATGATTCACTAGCCTTACATGTTTCGATCCAGCACAGCACAGTGGGCCAAGAAATCATAATGGACTATACTAAGAATCTCCCTACTCAAGTTACACAGGCGGCACAACATTGGCCACCTTGAAGAGGGACGACAGAGTTTATTGACACGAACCTGTATGGTTTATGAATTTTAATTTTTAACAAAGTTTTCAAAACTTTAAAACAACTCAAATATTTCTATAACCAGAAAGGCTGCTGTGACTGATAGATTGAACATTTTGTAATTGGACATTACATGTGTATTTGATATGACAATTGTTGTGTTAGTGATTTCTAAAAAGTGTTTGGTGCCTCTGAAGATGATCCAAATGGATCGACACATGTAAGGCTAGTGAATCATCAAGTGAGAAAACTGAAATAGTCACATTGGAAGGACTTGTCTTTTGTAATTGTAAGAATCATACATATCTCTTTCTGGCTCTTCCTTCCAGGATAGTCTTTTCCGGTAATTCAATTTGCGCGGCCTGCACTCTAGTGCGCTCTAGTGATCTTTCTAGTAGTATACGTAAACCACGGATATGTGTACTGAAACGCAGTTCTTCCCGCTCGTCGCTGTTGGTAGCGTGATAAGTTTCGGGCAAGTTCGGACGAAGTTAGAAAGGTTGGTAGCGTTAGACCTAACCGAATGTGATGTTGTGGCAATGTTGCACTCCTGATCTTGAAATCTTGAACCACCTACTACAAACAAAGCCTTTGACCCTGTCATGCTTTGTACCAATGCTCGAAACATTACAAACATGGACGTCCCAGCAATCGATAAATGTCCCAGCATATTAACGTTTTAGGTAATTCGAGAACTATGTTGGCATTACAAATGAGCAAACGTTGGTAAAACGAGTTATGAAAAGGAAGGTTGAAAACTGTTGAGTGCTGTTGAGGCTGTTGAGCGTAGCGTAATGTAGAAACAATGGTGACCACGGTTGTAGTGGGTTAGAAGGTTTAGAACGTTTAGAAGGCTCCTTATAAACTAAAAATGGCGTCAGTTAATAGGGTTAATAGTGTGCGTGATAAATTTAATGGACGTGACGGAGCCAGTAAAGTAAGTGGTACACAAATGGAGAGTAGTAACGAAGAGGGAGATATAAGTTCACATGTCTCTTATTCAGAACTTATGTTTGATGAAGACACAGACAAAGAAATTGAATCGTTTCTGAGACCGGAGTTAATACCAGAAAAAGACGTATCACAGGATGATGTGTTGAAGACACAACATGCTAATGAGCAAACGTGCAGCACTACAGCTGATAATCGTGCGATTTTAACCAAGGAAGAGGTAGATGGTGTGGCAGAAACAAAGAACTGCATGCAAATTGAAACAAAAAGATGCGAGAAACGAATTGAGATAACTGAAACAAGTCCCAGAAAACACGTACGCAACAGCGATGGAAATGATACAGGAATTGCTGAAAATGATGCTATGAATTCTTTGAAGGAAATGAGACATTCTGATGATTCATCAGGAAGTAAAACTGGTAAAAAAAATAATACGAATGTTGCACATGCAAAAGTAAAAGTTCTTACTGCTGAAGCGAAGTCATTAAAGGTTCCTTCCACGAAAACTGCACTAAGTCCCATGTGGGATAATTACATTTTAGTAGTAAGTGGGATTCCTCCAAGAGACGCTGGGGTAAGTTAAATACAAATTCGTTTGGTGTACATGAGCAGTAGTAATTTATCTCCCAATCATATTTGGTGGTGGTGGACAAAAATTGGGTTGGCCTTGAAAACTGGATATTGTATTTTTTCACTGATTCACCGAAAAGGTTTGGAATTCATTAGTATATGGATAGATATCGCCTAACAAATTAGGAAAGATTTCAGTAAAGAAGAGTTACATGATTTGTGTATTCAAATTAATGTCACCACACAAGTATGCATTTTTTTTTGCATTAATGTTAGGTGTCACATTCCATAGTATGGTAATCTTCGTAGCTACTGCTATGAGAACTTCAATTCTGAGGTAGATAGCTAAATTATGTGTATTCCATGCATCCAGTTTATGTAAGACTTAGGACAAGTTGGTGTACTAGTAAACACAATGAGCACATCGTAGTTCAACAAGCATGTGGCACATGATACACATAATTTTATAAAAGATAAACTTGTCCTTGTCATTAATTAAGAACTAGTAGGAAGACATACAGAGGAGTGTACGTATAGCTCCACCATTCTTGACTTGGGCACAAAATGGAGGAAAGAATGAGCCCACTGTACCCATTGGATAGGAAGTTGGGTGGCCCTCAGAGTCAGTCTGGATGCTGTAGAGAAGAGAAAAATCTTGTCCTCTGACCATCCAGTCCGTAGCCCGTCACTATACCGACTGAGCTATCCCAGTTTCTACACACAATTTTATACAAGTGAGATGTTCTGTGGGGTGTGACACCATGTAGTCTGGTAGACAATTATGTAAGAAAAATGTGAAGTCCTAGTGCTCAATTAGCTAAGCTCTATGCCATGAAGACATGAAGGAGTGGGGATATAGCTCCATTCTTGACTTTGACACTAGATGGAGGTGAGTGGCCACTTACCCCCAAGAAATTGTGCCTGGTACCCATAGAATAGGAGGCTGGGTGGGCCCCAGAGCCAGTCTGGATGCAGTGCAGAAGAAAAAAATCTTGCCCTTGCCAGAAATCGAACCCTGGCTATCCGTCCCATAGCATGTCAATATACTGACTGAGTTAAATACAAAAACTACAAATTAAATCACAGATATCATAGTATTGTATCTCAAAACCTGATCTTAATGCAAAAGAATTACTATAATATAATTTCATGTATAATTAGGCAGCTGTTTTATGAGGCTCACAGCTTCTGGAACAGAGTGGAAGTTGTGTGACAAAATGAATTTTTTTAATTCAGTTACATAATGTAATGTAGGGAGATTCAGTAGTTTGGTGTATTTTTTTTTATTGTTCTTAGTTGGCGAGACTGAATTCATTTGGTACTGCAGCCACTACTGGCTTATTGTACTAGCCCCGGATGATAGATGATGGTGATTATGGAGCAATGGTGGAATGAATATTAGCAGGAGAAATCAAAGTACTCGTAGAAAACCTGTCCCAGTGCTACTTTGTCCACCACAAATTTCACATGACCAAACCTGGGCTGCTGCAGTGGGAAGCCAGCGACTTAAATGTTTGAGCTGTGGTACAGCCTAGCTTGATGTAGTAACTCAGCAACAGACTGGATAACTGAGGGATCAGGGTTCGATTCTAGGCAGGCAAATGGGTTCTTTTCTTTTCCCCACAGCCACTTTAAACATTCACTGGGGTTCTTTCCCTAGGGTTAAAGCTGCTGGGATGTGAAGCTGACAGTTCACCTTATAATACTAAAGTTAAGTAAGACTGCATGGGACTGTACCTCCACTCTTTCATATACCTTCATGATATTGTGCTTAAAGAGTGTGCTATGTTCAATGACACTGTCAATAACTTAGACTGAGTATGAGGGGCGAGCCATAAAACTGGCCCTAGCACTGTGACCTTCAGTGGTCTCTGACTATACATATAGTATCAGATGTTAACGTGGTTGTGAATTATGGATAAGAAAGTCTATAGAAGGAAGTGGTTATGTCCTAATTTGAGGTACTATCCCAGTATTTATTTGGAGTGGCTGAGAGAAGCTATGAAAAATCACAAGAGTACTAGTCTCCAGGGTGAGATTTGAACCCAGCACTTCTCAGATAAGACGACTTCTAGGCCACTGTGCCTGATTCCATTTTATGTCTTAAGGATTGCTGCAGTTTTGTACAGTTGTAGTAAATGTTTTAAATGGTGTGTTTAATTTTTATGGTTTGCAGCATCTGAAGAAGGTACTGAATGGTGTATTGGGTGATAATTCTCATAGAATCAGACAAAGCGAGAAAGGTGCCACAGTTGTGTATTTACATTTCCTGAACCAGCAAGATATGAAAGTTGCAAGAGCACATCTGCACAACCAAAGGATTGCAAACTACAAGCTGACTGTGACAGTAAGTTAGACCAGATGGCACAGTTGTGGTAGAAGACTTTAGAAAGCCATTGAGTCCTGTAAGGGAGAAACATGACATAGTATCAGAATATGGTAGGCCCTTGTTATACTGTGCCTCATTATGCTACAGCTTTGATTATGTCCTCCAATACACCAGTGACTGAGGTTAGCTCATTCTTATATATATATGTATGTATATCCAGCAGAATAGGTGTCTCCCATCTACTCACCTGAGGACAGAAACAGATCCATTTTCTAAAATGTTATGACCTTTAGAATGCCTAGTAATCCGAAATGTTTTGCGTATATTATTCCACATGCATGTGTAAGGTGCTATCAGTAAATTCCCTGACTGTTATTCTTGTAACTGCCTCAGTGAAAGAAGCTGAGAGGGGAGGTCAAGCTCACACTTCCGCAAGCCTATTGCATCAGTCTGCCACATGACGCTATGCTGTGAACATGCATTGTTTTTACATGATTGCTTTTTCAACTTTGTGTTTTGTTTGTCTGCAATGGATGGTAAAATTGAGCAACGTGTCTCCATAAATTTATGTGTGAAGTTCGGTAAATCCTGTACCAAAACTCTTGAAATGCTTCATGAGGCTTTTGGAGAACATTCTTTATACCAAAAATCGGTTTTTCAATGGCATTCATGTTTCAAGGTGGGTCAAGTGTCAACTGAAGATGACGCATGTTCAGGGCAACCAAGCACAAGCAAAATGGCAGAAAATGTTGAAAAAATTGGAGAACTCACCCAAGAAGACCATCACCAAACAGTCCCTGAGCTTGCAGGCACCACTGGGATCAGTTGTGAAGTTTGCCAGGAGAATTTAACAGAAAATTTGAACTTGCACCACACTGCTGTAAAGTTTGTTCCCTGACTCTTGACAAGTTACCAAGAGCAGCAGCACATAAACATGTGTCTTGAGCTACGAGAGAAGGCCAACAAGGACCAAACTTTTATGTCCAGGATCATAATGGGTGTAAAAAGTTGGATTTACAGTTACGATCTGGAAACAAAGCAACAGTTGTTGCAGTGGAAAAGTCCACAGTCACCAAGAGCAAAAAAAGATGAGGCAGGTCCGGATTTCAACAAAGTGCATGTTCAGTGTTTTTTTTCGCTTGAATGGGGTTGTTCACTGTGAATTTGTTCCTCCTAACATTATGGTCAATTCTCACTTTTACTGCGACATTTTGAGATGTTTTAGACAAAATGTGCAATGAGCTTTGGCACAACAACAGCAACCAGCTCCTTCATCATGACAACGTGCCCGCCCATACATCCCTGAAAACCACAGTGTTTGTGACTAACAGCAAGATCGATATCATTCCCCATCCTCCCTACTTGCCGGACTTAGCCCCTGGGATTTCACTTTGTTTCGGAAATGGAAAATGAGACTGAGGGGGCGACATTTTGAAACAGTGTCTGGCACCCAAAGGGAATCGCAAGCAATACTCAACAGCATTACAGAAAATGACTTCCATGGTTCTGATGAAGCGTTGAAAAAATGACGGGATCGCTGTATACGTTCCCAAGGAGACTATTTTGGAGGAGATAGCAGCCAAATACCAGAAACATTTCTTTTTTGACCTAGTCCGGTAACTTTCTGATAGCAGATATATTCCATAAATTGTTTCTCCCTGTATGTAATTGAATGTACAGTGTGCGGCAGCATAATTTGCTGATTTGAAGGTTCAGTAAAACAAAAGATGTTATAGGTATTGTAATTATTTTTTCTCCATATTCTCCAACATTGGAAATTTACGTTTACTCTGTTTTAAAAATTGTATCCAACAAGTGGTGCCCCCCATTGGTGATACACTGATTTGCCTGAATTCTGAAGTGTCGGTTGACTGTTTCCAGCATAGCGATGGGTATGTTGGCTATGGCTTGGCGAATATTCTCCTTCAGTTGAGCAAGGGTCCTTGGACAATCGGTGTACACGAGGGATTTCAGGTACCCCCATAAGAAATAGTCACAAGGGGCTATATCGGATGAGTGTGCCAACCACTTAATATCGCCCCTCAAAGAAGTTAGGCGCCCGGGGAAGTGTTCCCGCAAATCACGCATTGCAGTTCGTACCGTGTGTGCCGTGGCTCCATCCTGCTGAAACCACAGATCCCCAACAGCCATTACATCAAGACTTGGCAAAAAAAAACTTCGATCATTTTCACATAGCAAACAGAATTCACTGTAACTGCAACCTCATTCTCTTCAAAAAAAGTAGGGACCAATAATCCCTACTCTCGACAGTGCACACCAAACAGTTACATGTTCACAATGAAGGGGCCTCTCATGAAGTTCTCGGGGATTGTTATCACTCCAGTAGCACATGTTTTGCTTGTTCACGCATCCAGAAAGATGGAAATGAGCCTCTTCACTAAAGAACACAAGCGCATCATCAGGCAAAGTTTCAAGGAACACTTCACATGCATGTTGCCGAGCAGCAAAATCGCGTTCAGTGAGTTCTTGCACCACAGCCAACTTGTAAGGGTGAAAGTGGAGGTCATCATGAAGAATTCGCCTCACAGAACAATCAGACATTCCAAGGGCAGCTGCATGCTTGCGTGCTGAGTGCCGAGGAGATCGCAAAAAAGACTGCCTTACCGCCTCCATGTTTTGGGGTGATCTGATGGGCCGTTCCCCTGATCTTCTCTTTTCCACACTGCCAGTTCTCCTGAATGTGTTTGCCCACGTAACAATCGATTGCCAACCAGGAACACGAGCTCGGGCGGAAATATTGAAGTGCGCGGGGAATGCTTGCTGCATGGCAATGATCTACTGACCGTTAGAAAAGTAAGCCTCTACGGCAAACGCGCGCTGTTCCTTCGTCCAACGCATTCTCAGTACTAAAGTGGAAGGAAGAACAAACTTCCCGACTCACCTGTTTGAATGAGACCATCCGCACCCTCTAACGGCCAAACCTCACTTCCTGGCGTCAAATTCAAATCAGCAAATTTGCTGCTGCACCCTGTATAACACATATAAAATATTATTTTTAATAGAAGTTTTGGGCTGTAATGAGATGTTTAAGTTATAAGCAAAAGTATATAACCTATAAGCCAAGCAAGAGACCAGTGTCAAGCAGGTGTTGAGTAGTACCCTGCTACCTGTTTCATGCTTGTATCCTTCTTAGCTTATTCTTCAACCCTGAAGATGGAAGCAGTATGTTTCTCTGAAGTGCTGGTTGACTCTGTGTACTACAGGCCGTTATATCCTAGAAGAGAGAACTCTTCATTACTACTGCTGTGAGAATCTGAAGGCCTGCATAAGTTTATGATTTATTTAGGATGAGTAAATGAGTATTGCCATTTAAAGCAGTGTTCCTACAGTATATTAATGACTGGGTTATGAGTGTGAAGTTTATTATTATGCTTATTCCAGCATATTGCTGGTATATGTTCCCCATAGCCTGTGTGACATAATGGACAGGTAGGCAATGCCACTGTGTAACTGAGCTCCAGGAGCAGAAAGAGTAGGAAGTGGACTTATCTTTGGACAAGATGAATCTCCACAACATGCTGGACTGAACTACAGGAAACATTCATTAAGATTACGGTCCTCTGAGAAGTGCTGCCATGTGACTTGGTAGATAGGTGCTCACTTTTCAAAGAAGTCTGTTGCCTCCACCTTCTACCATGAAGACAGAGGCTGCGGATTTCTCCAAAACATTGATATCCATCTACCAACCAACACAGCTTCACATCCCAGAAGGCCACATTCTTAATACCCAACACCGTGAGAGCCACATCATCACCACTGCTGCCGCCACCAATCATCATCATCATCATCATCATTGTCCTTTAGCTCCCACTGGGGCACAGGACATTAACAAAGTGTTGCCACCTCACAGGGTTCTTGCTAAGTTGTTTAATTTCTCCCCATGGGTGAATCTGCATGTCTCACATCCATATAATAGAATTGATTTCACATAGTTTTGTTCTTAATAAAATAGCACTTGATTTTCAAACTTTTTGTAGTTGATTAAAAGCCCCCTTTGCTTTAGATATTTTATTTGTTATATCTTCCATACTACCGCCCTCCTTTGTAACTATGCTACCAAGGTAAGGGAATTTATCAGCCTTTTTTATTTCTTTTCTGACCAGAGTAAACGTACTGTGAGAGCCACAAATCTCATATAATTTTATTCACGACATTACCCACACCAGACACGAAAGATAGTAAATGTTTTTGTGAACATAATATTGGGTGTTCGTTTGTCAGGTCGACAGACCTTCAGGACTGAAACAGAAATTTGAAGGTAATCATGAAGGACCAGCCGTCAAGAGAATGAGGAAGCAGAAAAAATTATTACAGTTCTTTGAGAAGTCTTACGAAGAACAGGTGAGGCTGAATTAGATAGCAGCGGAATTCGTATTCCTAAGGTATCTGGTTTGAATCTCATCCATGCATATGATTTTCTTTAGTCTGCCAAGGCAAATGTACTCTTGAGATGAGGCAAGACTGCCTTTTTCCATATATTTATGTACATTTATTTATGATCAACCCTGCTGATTGAATGCTGTATGTCTTATCTAAATTGAAGTAAAATCAGTCTTGAGAAGCTAATAGTTTCCCAACTAGTTCAGAAATTCCCTTGTGTACATGGAATCATATGGTTCGTGACCATGTTTGTAACAACCTGAATTTGAAATAAAAAATCAAAGATCGAGTTATATCACCCAAGTTTTTTGCATTGTTGATTTGGCATGAAATGACCACACATAACGATGAAAGGAAGCATTGCATATACAGCAATATAACCCTTCAAAACGCAGTAATTACTTACATATACTCTGCATTTTGTCCATACAGTGTATTTATTTGTTTCAGACGATTCTCACAACAACATTTATTTCCACAAACAGTAATAGCTGTTTGGTCTTTTTTATAGAAATGCATCATGTTCTCTGACGTAGGAACTGAATTTTTAAATATAGTTTAGATGAATTTATGGCCTAAAGAGGTGAATGGATAATCATAATAAAAATTGGGCATGATAGGCTGTATTATTGATCTCTAATTTTAATTTAGAAATGTTTTATATTTTTGATTAGTCAGTGACAAGGCTTTGAAGTTTTCTGCCACATTTAAGACTGATATGAGTTTTTCTTACAGATAGAACTTAAGACGGCAGACATTCGTACTAAACTACATGATTTAAATAGATATATTGCCAAAAAATCGCCAGAACTCTCAAATTTTATTCGTCAGAGACAGCTTAAACATGGTGGAGCAATTTGTGCTTTGGACAAATTCAAGGACTGTTCTCCGAGTGAGAGAGTAGTGTCTGTATGTTGGTTTGCAGTAGGTATGTGCATTTCCTTGTAATGAGCTTCCAAACACAAATCTGCTGTTCTTAGCACAGTTAATTACATGAAGTTTTCAAGTTAAAAGTGGTATCCATACCTAATATTGGTAACACTGTGTTTCAGGTTCAGATAAAGAGACTGGACAGCTTGTAGTAGGTATCCATGAAGGGAATGGGCATGTACGAAAGTTGTCATCAGTAAAACAAAACTACCCAGATCACGTGGTGAAGATAGCAGAGGTAGGGCCTTGACACATAAGCTGTTTCAGCTGTTTCCCCTCATTACATGACATGAATGCAAATGCTTTACGACTGGTACTATCATGATTGCTGCCATAACATTGTAGTATCTTTGTTTCCTTAACATACAAAAAGTGTAGTTTGGTTGATACAATGGACCTACACCCCTGCTGTGTCTTAATGATTCTTTATATCGGCTTGTGACACTGTTCACATGCAAACAGCATGGGTTGACAATCCCCCCCTCTGTTAGACATTCATGTTTGTGGTTTGACCAGTACAATTCTTCATCTTCACGCTTCAGTGTTTGGAGTTGAAATGAAGATCTGATTGATAGCAGTTGCTATCTTTTACCCAAGTTTGGGCTTACTACATGACGTTCAGTTGAGAACAGGGATCTTTAAATCGTGGTGCAACTGTAATGTAGAGAAACTGGGATCTGATGCAGTGTAGCCTGGTAGATATGTACCAGTGTTTGAGATGAACCTCAGACCTTCTGCCCGAGAATGGAAGTAGCTGATTCTTCTGAAACATTGGTTAGTATCTATTAGACTACACAATATTGTACCCAAGATTACCAGACCTCATTTTCACCGCTGTGAGAACATCTGTTCTCAACAGTGTCATATGATTATTTTGAGTGTGTTGGACCTGAGGAAATTGATACTTTTTATATACAGATGTTTGTCCATATTCTGTTGATGGCTTTTACTGCTTCATGAACTGACACCATAAAGATGAATGGTGTTGCATAAAGGTTGCCATGGTTTTTCCTTTTGTGCTTCATTCTGGTGTGTACATGGGATATGTTGCTTTAGTTGCTGTCTTGTATTGTGTTGGTAAGTTACACTGTCTGACTTTCAGCTCATGTATAAGAAAAACATGTTCCCAGAGTGTTGCTCATTTGATTTTTTATATTTGATGACTTTTGTTTGCAGCCTGTTATTCCTAGTTTCCCCTGTGGGAGGCCATGTCATCACTCAGGAAGTTGGGCACAGTTTCCCACAGCAGAATTTCAGGTTAAATTTAAGCTGACTTCGTGTGAGATTTGTTTCAAACACAGGCACTGGAGCAGGTATCTGTCGGAGTTCCTTTGGTTCTCACCTGCTAATCAACCACAGCTCCATCTATTTATGCTTCCTGGGGTGTATAATAGCTGATGAACAGTCTGACCTATGAAAGTGCCATGACCTGAAACAGCCTCGCATGTCATATGTGACTGTGATGTTGTAGCTTAATTAAGATTTTGTCACTTGTATAGTCACTTCACGGAAGTGATTATCATTAGACCTCCACTAAGCAAGGCACTGCACTTCCTTCAATATGCAGAACCGCAGGAGTGCTAAACCTTCCCAAGGAGATACACAATAGTGGATTGAAAGTTGCCATGGTGCAGTGGTGATTTAATTCCAGTCTGTTGATTCTAATATAGTCTCTGTAATGCACAGTGGATTAGTATCGACCTTGGTGGAATGGTAATTTAATTGCCAGGGGTTTAATCTCTTGGATCTAATCTATCAAAAGGCATTACGGATGTTTAAGAATGAACTATTTAAAGAGTGTTAAAGGAGCAAACAAACTCTGTTCATCTAAAGTCAACCACAATGAAGAGGTGGAAGACTCAGTTTCATAATGCATGTCTGGAGCCTCCACTGCTGCAGAGATTACTGCAATATCATGAGAACAAAGTGCTCCTTGAAACATGGAACATATGGATTGTACATATCAGTGACCTCCTAGGATTGTCATAGTCCTTCATATAAGGAAGAGCAAGTTAATCATACTGCATGACTTAATACAGCCCAATTCATACCTTTGAGATTCTCATAACAATTCATATTAAGATGTGAACCTTGGAGACAGCAGGTTCCCGCTGACATACCGCTGACCTCGTAGTGATCTCTGTTGGCAGGCATTGGCACATAGCAGCCATAGATTTCAAGCTCTTCTCTCCTGAAGATTGAGGAAGCAAGTTCCTGTGTAATCTTGGTATTTACCTACCAGGCTACACATCATCATACCCCACAGGAATGTAACCTTAACCATATATGCACCTGTCCACTCTTCACTTTGCTGTAAAAGTGTGAGCCCTTTTCCTGCTTCACAGACATGGTTACTTTTAAGATTGCATTGTTGTGTTGAAATTTCAGAGTTTGCCATGTGAGTCGATGCACTGATGTTGCCCTTACATTTTGACAGGTGTTTGAGGAGTTTGTGCACACCCAAGGAAACCAGAAGATGTGGCACAAGCTAGTGATACATACCAATAGTGTCCAGGACCTGATGCTCTTGGTGTTTCTTGACTGCACTAATGATGAGCTGAAACGAGTGCATGATGAGATGAAAATATTCTTCACATCCGGAGAGGGGATGAAGTGTCACGTCACCTCGGTTTACATCCGAGACATGAACAAGTATGTTCAGTCTCTGGTGTCCATTATACCTTTCTTAGGTATTAAGTAGAATCTGATTGTTGCATCAAATACAGCTGTGACCACATGTCCTCAGCAGTTGCTTTGTTCTGCCTTTCTTGCAATTTGTGATTGGCGTGCATTGTCCCTTCTGCTACTACAAGACCAAGGCATAGGTGCAGCTTTGTAAAATAAGCTAATGACTGATTTTCATATTTTTCTTGTCCAAGTCTACTTATTTTTGTGCTGCTTCGTTACCTGGAAAGACGTGATCCCAATTGATGTGCCAGTGGCCACACATCTGAGTGAAGTTTCTTTCACAACAGCACATCATCTTTGGTTCATGTGTAGTCAGAAGGGCAACTTTGTTGCTACAAGAGCTCTGGTTTAGTAATTACTGTGAATCAGAAAGCGTTGGAATTTTGGTGTGTGCTGACACAAATGGCACTTTCTTGAGGCAGCCAGACACATGGAAATTGAAGTCTGGTTTGCATGGGGGATGGTGTAACACCTTGCAGTGCATGGAGCGCATCATATGTAGGACACTGCAGGTCATGCGGGAACAGGTTTTGTTGTGAAATGTGATGACACTCCTTGTGAGAATCCCAGAATGTTTTCTCTTGATGGTGGTAAGAAAGTCATGAGTACCACTTGGTGTTCACATTGGTTTTGGGTGTTTGACAACTCTTTGGATAGATTCTGCATCAGAAACACAGGTAGTTAACCATATCACACTGTTTGTATCTGCTCATGATTTGCTCTTGGTGTATTATGCACACAGCTATGCAGTGACCTCTGACAACCATAGCCATTTTCACTGTCAGTGCTATGGACAGGTTTTGTTTGAACAGCCGTCATGCTCTTGTTGAGTGGTATGTTATGTGTTTCTCTGTGAATATGCTGTTTACTTATGTTGTCTGCCATGCCATTGCATACAGGCCTGTGTTGGACTGCATTGAGTGTTGTCATTGCAGTCACCTCAGTTTATTCTGTCACTTGGAACACGTTAAAGTTTGCTGTGGTGAGGGCTGGCAATTCACATGATTCTGGATTAACGGAAACAGTTTGCCAGATACTAGTTTATATGAAGTGGCTGGTCACGGCTTAAATTTTCTGTTGACTTGTTGCTGAAAGCTGGTATTCTCTCCTCCTCACATGTATATTCATGGCAGAGGAGTATAATTGAATCTTAAGAAAATGTGCTACAGGACCTTGTTGGATGATGATCTTTCTGCTTTCGCTAGCTCTTCAATACTAGTAAAGCTTAATCTGGGGCCACAGACATGAATAAAAGATACCGTAGTGTTTGAATCTTGTATAATATCTATGGTTTTAAGAAACTGAGATGATGGCTGTACAAAAGTGGTCTTAATTAATGGTCATTCATATTTGACCAGTAATAGCAACTGTGTCTTTGTTTCAGATGATTCCTCCAGTCATACCATGTGCTCCTGTTAATAATTTCTAAATGCTATTAATATCAGTTTTTTAATTTTTTGGTAATAATTATTTTGTGACATCAGTTCCTTCTATATGTGTCAGTCTCCTTTCATCTCAGCAGGTGCTATATCTCAGATATTTATGGGAATAGCCAGATATTCCCACAGACAAAATAATACAGTCATGATCAGAATAAAACACCATATTTCATTGTGAATAAGCCCCCCCTCCACTTTAAAAAAAGAAGTTGAAAAAATTTCAATTAATCCTATACATCAATGAAATTGGGGCAGATGTTAGAAACTTTTACTTGTATTTTATTTTACTTTACTGTGTAAGGGAGAATTCTTTACTTTGATTTATGAAACAGTAAATAAATGAGCTTATAAATAATGATTAAATTATGAAATTTCTTGCTATAGAAAAAATATATTTTTCAGTTCCTCCATCCTAAACTGTTATATGCCTTACACATTGTGAAGAGAGGTACTCTCTTTCATAACTATAACAAACGGTTGAATTTACAGTCGTGACACTAAGGTAACAGCCCTGGACTTGGTATTGGGAGAGCCATGCCTTGAAGATACAGTTGCTGGTCTCAAGTTACAACTTCCACCCATAAAGCACCTCTGGAATTCTGTCCATGGGGCTGAGACATTGTGCAAGGTTATGGAAGAATTACTGGCACCAACAAAGAAAACGACAGTGTTGGAAATTGGCTGTGGCATTGGGCTTGTAGGACTGCACTTGTCCAAGGTTAGGATGAAATATCAAGCACATGCATGCAGTGCTTGTTTGTTTTAAAGTACAGAATGGTCACATATAATAAGAGGGATGCGTTCCTGAAGATCTCACCTAACTTAAAACTTGCATAATTCAAGATGAACTTGTTCATAGGAATAAGTGTATTGCAGAATTTCCGGGTTTTGCATTATTTCAAACTTTGTGCAGAAAGTGGGGTTTTATTAATATTTTTTTATATCACACTGTTTCAAATTCACATAAAATGTGACCACACCATACTCAGTTCAGAAGAAATGTAATTGTTGTAAGTAGGGGTGATAATATCAAATTTTATGGGTTTTACCTTCACTCCTGCAGGAATGTGAAAGAATAAACATGTGTGCCAGTAGCACAGTTGATTTATTGGCCATGCATCACACTATTGTGACAACATACATTGATGGTCCAGCTGACCTTACCACACTATTTCTTTTTCAGTGTAAGCTAGGGTAGTTGGTTAAGGCACTAATGCTACAGCTGGGAGGTCACAGGTTTGATTCTTGATGAGGTCATTGGATTTTTCACTTGACCCAACCCTTCCAGCTGCACTATGGGCCTGGGGTTAACTCAGTCTCTTAACAGAAATGAGTACCAGGAATCTTCCTGGGGGTAAAGGGCCACCGGCACATAAGGCTGAAAACCTCATTGCCATCTGTGAGCTGATTGACTAGAAAATATGGGAGCCATGACATCTCAACTCTAGGGTTTCTTTTGTTTTTTTTTATATATATAAATTCCATTACCTGCAGATAATATTTTTGTGGCAGCCCAGTAGTAGCAGGCATTTACGTGGGGCAATCCAAAAGTTACCAAAATTTGAATTTTGTGCTCGAATGGTTATGAGTACATCAAAATACTGCTAGGTGTCTCCTCACACCTCATCCTTGAATCAGTGTGGCAAGAGGTGTCGAGTTGAGTGGTTGGGTTTATTGTTGGTGAACATATTTCCATTGTTGTGTTTCCGCGAGTTTGCGGTTTTGCGATGGCTGACCTGAGAGAGCAGTGTGTCTGTATAAAGTTTTGTTTCAAACTTGGGAAAACCGCTGCAGAAATGCACCAAATGTTGAAGCAAGCTTTTGGTGAAAACAGTTTAGGCCAGACACAAATGTACAACTGGTATAAGCGTTTTAAAAATGGCCAAACATTGACTGATGATGACGATTGTTCGGGACAGTCGTCAACGGGCAAAACACCAGAAAATGTTGCGAAAGTTAGGGATCTGATTCTGCAAGATCGTAGACTGACCATCCAAGACCTCTGTAACACCTTGGGACTAAGTTATGGTACATGTCAACGAATTTTGTCAGAGGAACTGAACATGAGGAGGATTGCGGCGAAGTTTGTGCCACGACTGCTGCAAAATGAACAGAAGCAGCATCGCTTGGAAGTCTGCAGGGAACTTCAGCAACAGCTTCAAGAGGATCCAAACTTTCTTTCGAAGGTTGTCACTGGTGACGAAAGTTGGGTTTATGGCTACGACCCTGAAAGCAAGCAGCAATCGTCGCAATGGAAGAGCCCTTCACCTGGGCCAAAAAAAGCTTGACAAGTCAAGAGCAACATTAAGTCCATGTTGATCTGTTTTTTTGATATTGACGGGATTGTTCATAAGGAGTTCGTCCCTCCTGGTCAGACAGTCAATAAAGAGTTCTATCGCGATGTTCTAAGGCGTTTGAGGAGGACATGAGGAGAAAATGTCCATAGAAGTGGCGCACGAATGGCTGGGTACTCCAGTATGACCCACCATGACCGCATATGGCTTACATTGTGCAGGAATTTTTGGCTAAAAACAAGATGGCAGTTGTTCCCCACCCACCATACTTGCCAGACTTAGCTCCATGCGACTTCTTTCTCTTCCCCAAGATGAAAATCAAGTTGAAGGGGCGAAGATTTGATACAGTTGATGAAATTCAAGCGGAAATGCAGATGGTACTAAACACCCTAACAAAGAAAGACTTCCAGGATGCATTTGAAAAGTGGCAGGCAGAAACGCTGGGATCGGTGTATGCGCTCCCAAGGGGACTACTTTGAAGGTGATGGTGCAGAATAAGATCTAGGTAAGATGTAATAGTTTTTATTAATATATTTCGGGAACTTTTTGGATTGCACCACGTACATTCCATGTTTCTGGATGAAAAATCTTCTTTGGCTGCAACCTTTTATAACTTAGAATCCTGAAACACTTGATCATTTAGATCGTAGGACTCCTTGAATGATATGACAGCCCATAAGATGACTCATTCACAGAATAGCTGGTACAGAAAAACACCGAAGTGCAGATTTCTTAATCAGTATAATGAAAAGTAGATTCTACCACATTAAATGATGTCTAAAATCGCAACCTCTTGACACCCCCCCCACCCCCCAACTGTGAAATAAAGTCTTAAATATTCTAGTGGTGTTAAATAAAATGTAAACTTTATGATATGGGCTTTCCTGTCAAATAGTCAGTAGATGTTCGTATGTTCAGAAATTCCCATATGCTATAAATCTAAGAAATGTATCACTGTGAACACAAAAATCATTGTTAGAGCCATTTCAGTGTAGAACACTCCTGTCTGCAACCCACTTTAAAATTAATTTTAATAATGCCCTTCCATCTTCATGCTTTTTAAAGTGGCCTCCTGTCTTGTATTGTGTCTAAACATTTATTCTTTTTTTTCTTTCCCCAAGTATGCTGCTGTATCTTTCACTATCAATCTTTATTGCATAGAAATAAAGAGAAATAGAGGTAAGAGGCAAAATGCAAGTTGTCCCTGTACTTAATTAATTAAGACTTTTTTTATTGCTAGTGGGGTGGGACTAAGTCCCTTGTACTGCAGCCACTTCTGGCCTATTGTACCAGCCCCAGATGATAGGTGAGGGTGATTGTGGAGCAATTGGTGGAATGAAGATTGGCAGGGGAAACCGAAGTACTCGGAGAAAACCTGCCCCAGCGCCACTTTGTCCACCACGAATCCGACTTGACCAGACCCGGGATTTAATCCGGGCCGCCACGGTGGGAAGAGAGCGACTAACTGCTTGAACTGTGGCGCGGCCACTAATTAAGACTTACACCATGATGATGGAAGGGGGAGTGGAAATATAGCTCCATTCTTGATCTTGGCCCTAGATGGAAATGAGTGGTTATCTTCATACCCTAGCAGTCTTACACCTGGGGAGAGAGCCCACACTAGCCATAGGATAGGGGGCTGGGTGGGCCACAGAGTCAGTCTGGATGCTGTGGAGAGGAGAAAAATCTCTTGTGTGCTAGGAACTGAATCCCAGTAGTCCAATCCATAGCCGATTGCTGTAGTGACTGCAATATTCTGGCTCCCATTGTCCAGGAATAGGGGTTTTAAATTTCCCAATGCTATGGGGGTTGGTGACAACATTTTAATTTGGGTGGGGAACAGTTTCTTATCGAGAAATCTGTGATATTAACATTGAGAAAATGGAGTGTTTGGTCAGCTGGAATGCATCTCTGTGCTATTACAGTAATACAGTGCACGGCAGATGAGGGGTAATGTGCTAGAATTATTCTCTAAAATTATGTTACCATGCACCAGGTCATGGAGACAAAGAAAAGGTATGGGGTAATGCCTTGTGTATTTTAACTTAAGCACTTTATCCATGTCCACAAATTGGATATGCGCGTGGGTTCCCGAGAACCATGGTGATGCACAGCACTGTCTTTTTGTAGGTTGCAGGAGAAGTTCTGAGTGTGGACACTGAGTCAACTATGGAAGTCGCCAAGAAGAATGCGGCAAATAACGGAATCACACACTGCAAATATTTTGGTGGGAAGAGTGAGGACATGATTCAGGAACTCGTTAAGGAACAAACATGTGATGAGATCTGTGCTGTTGTGATGTTCTGCAGAAATCGCTCTTATAAAAGTAAGTTCAGTTGGTACTCATAATTGCAGCAGATAATACGTATAATGTTGTGTCCCTACAGTGAACAGTTATGAAAATGCAGATTTGTGTCTCTTTACATCTTCTATGGAAGAAATGCCACAACCAAAACTTGAGTACAGATGAAATTTGGGAATTGCTTGCCACTATTCAGTTCAGAATATTTTGTCTTTCCAACTGTGTAGAAGCATACAGATTAAAAAAACACACACACGAAACTATAATTGTGCATGGCCCTTATTATGGGTGTGAATGGTGTTTCTCATTGAGGGAAGGACATGGATTGAGGGTGTCTGAGAACAGTGTTAGGAGGGTATTTGGACTAAAGAGGGAAGAAGTGATAAGAGGATGGAGAAAATTGTATAATGAATAGATTCATAATTCATATTCTTCACAAAAGAATATGCTGATCAACTCAGTGAAGGCAGAATGGATTGGGCATGTAGCATGGATGGAAGAGATGAGAACAGAGTGTCTCAGAAGCAGCATATGGATTGTTATAAACATCTGTCCACATATAGAACCAAAATTTATTGTGCCTCTAAGTAATGTGGCATTCACTTAACAGATGGTATTAGTTGGCAATATGTTATGCACGAGTCAGTGATAGTACAACATGGTGCAAGTTTGCTTTCAGGCAGTGCAAGTTAATTTTGAAGTGGTACTGAAAATTTGAGAGCATGGGTGAAGTGTAAAGGTAGTGGAGACTGAATCTGCATCCGCATCTCTAACCCAGCTGACAATTCAAAGAATTCGTGATAAATTTGAGACTGGCAGTACTATAGAAGGGGGCACTAAGCTACAAGCTGGAAGGTCATGGTATTGAATTCTGATGAAGTGGATTTTTTCAATTTACCTAATCCTTCCAGTCGCACTATGGCCCTGGGGTCGACTCACCCTGTAACAGAAAAGAGTACCAGGAATATTCTTTGGGGTAAAGGGTGGGGGGCGCGTAAGGCTGACGGCCTTAGTGCCATCTATGAGCTGATTATCTAGGAAATTTGGGAACCTCGTCTCACACCCCTATGGACCTCCATGGCGTGTTACAGGGATACCTTTACTTGCAGTACTATAGAAGATGAGTACAAGCAATGATATAGGAGAGCTCATTCTTCAGTGAATGGGGAAAGTTGTGCTGTGGTGTTACAGCAATTTGCATGATCACCAGAAGAGCCTGTAAGGCAGTGTGCCAAACTTTCGTCACTTGATGAGTGAGGTCTCCCAGATGATTGCTGTGTCAGATCTTATCCCCCAGAATACACATATCCACTACAAAGGTTAGCAGTTATATTGAGGGACATGATCTCTTCTTTATTGTGAAAACCAAATGAAGCCCAAAAGTCTACTGTGGCCAGAAGACAGTTGTTTGACTTTAAAGGAGATGGTAAATGTAGTTACTGCTTTGCTTTCAAGAGTTATGAATCATGCTGAGACCAAGCACCAACTCTTCACTGAACTAAGCCAGTTTAATGAAAAAATAGACATCTGTTAGTATTTGTTGAACGATTTTAAAGAGGGACAGCATGAGTAAAAATGTTCCCATTCTGAATATGTTTCAGTTGTGACTGCATTGGAGCAGCTGAGGAAGGTACAGCATCTGAACCGACTGGTGCTTGTAGAAGACAAAGCTTTTACATTTAACACCATACAATCTTTGAGTGCACTTTCTAATGAAAAAGAAATGGGCAATCCATTTTTCCCTGTGAAAGTAGCTCCAGTGGACTGGCCAAACTCAAAAGGCTACTTGCTGTTGTTTCTGCTTGAGCGCATTGGTCGTGATGACATGGGAACGTTTCAGATGAATGACAAATCTGTGCCACGCAAGTCAGAAGTACACAGGAAAGCAAGTGCATCAAAGAAGCGCTATATCAGAGGGAAGCAAGGAGGTCGACATTTGTTACCAACCTCTGTATGGGACAGGACAGTGTTCTTACAACCGAGCTGTGACGTGGGACCAGAGATTAGAGCTGGGACAGCACATAACTCTTTGTTTGAGAACACAGCTTCCAACATGCAGTTGCAAGTAGCAGAAGAGATCCAGAGGGCATATTTTGGTGCTGTTGGCAATGTGGAAAATGTTGCAGACAAATTCTACCTTAGAGAGATCATGATTGAAAATCAGAGGAGACAGATGGAGGAAGAACAAAGACGACAGATGGAAGAGGTACGGATACGACAGATTCAGGAAGAAGAATTGAATAGACGGATGCTTGAAGCAAAGAGGAGACAGATCCAGGTTGAAGAAGAAGATTGGGTTAGGCAAGTCCAGGAAGAAGAACAGAGGAGGCGAATCCGGGACGAAGACTGGATGAGATGCATCCAAGAAAATGAACGGAGGAGACAGATCGAGGAAGAAGAAAGGAGGAAAATCCAGGAAGAAGAATGGAGGAGACAAATCCAGGAAGAAGAAAGGAAAATCCATGAAGAACACAGGAGAAGACTCCAAGAAGAAGAATGGAGGAGACGAATCCAGGAAGAAGAATGGCGGCGACCACTTCTTGAAGAACTACAGAAGAGAGAAATGCTGACAGAAGAACGGAAGAGGCAAATTGAAGAAGAATGGATGAGTCAGATGCGCGGAGAAAATTATAGGGGACCAGTTCTGGAAGAAGCGTATAGGGGGCAAATGGAGGAAGAGAGGGAAAGGAAGTTAGTGAGAATGAGTTCAAACCTCAGAAGTAGAAATGACATGGTGGAGGATCTGATAGCAGACTCACTCAGAGAAGCTGCCATACCACAGCTTTCTGCAGACGCAGCTCAGAAAGTGAAACATCTGGTAGCAGAGGCCATCAGGAGTGTGGGAGTGGCCAACCAAGACAAGAGACATGATGTCAGCACCAGCAGAGGAGTTGGTGGAATCCATCCTGAAAGCACAGTATCTCGATTTGGGAGGCCAGACAAAGAAATGCCAGAGGCAGGAGTGTTTGAAGGGGGATATTCTCGACAAGTCAAGGAAGTTGATTATCTTCATGAATCTAGACATGACATGTATGGAGGTGCATTGCAAAAACATAGCTTTGAGCAGGATGACCTGAAGTCACAGCAGTATTCTCTTATCAGGAATCAGAAAATTAGTTCAGAGACAAGTTTAAATCTACCATCGATTTTAGATTTGAAACTGAAACCTCCAGAAGTAACTGGTGCAAGTAGTTCTGATATGCAGCATCTTAGCAGGAATCCGAGAATTAGTTCAGAGACAAGTTTAAATCTACCATCGATTTTTGATTTGAAGCTGAAACCTCCAGAATTAATTGGTGCAAGTAGTTCTGATATGCAGCATCCAGAAGACAAATGCTTTTTGGAAGTCGGTAATCAGAGGCATGGGCAGGTACTGACAGCACAGAATGAACTGGACATTAATGTGACACGTGGTCAGCAGGCTGGCAGATTCTCTACTGCCGCAGTACAAGATGTAGGTTCAGCAAGAAGAGACAGGAAGCCCAGGGAATTCAACGCTCATATGCAACTTGACAGACTGGCTGATAAGCAGGCTGCAGATATTTTTAAGAGACGTAGTGATCTGTTCTAAGAGACCCTGAAAGCTCCATCACACCAGGCACAACAAATACATGGGGCACCAGTAGCAGATACCAGAGGGATAGGCATGACCCAAGTAGGAAGGATTGTCATGACATGGGCTCTGCCCCATCATATAATGCAGGTTTTTCTGCTTCTCCAGGAAGTATTGATATAAAGAGATGATAATTTTATGGCTATGGAAAAAGGATTCAGACTCATCCAATGTATATTCAGTTTGACCACTACTGGTGGATAATATAACAAATATGTCCAAATTGGGAAGAATCTTCTTTCTTTATGTCTCATCAGAAGTATGATGAAATGTTGGCAGCATCACATCTTGTTGCCAAACCTGTTATTGTTGATTGCACAAGATAGTGTGCAGAATGTATTGTCGCGTATCGGGGGTATGACGCGACAAATAACTTCACGAGGTATTTGATGTAGCGAATTTTATTTCACATTCGCACTTACAATCACCCAAATTACAGATTTACGCTTACTGCTG